TCTGTCTGAGTGGATGGGGGTAGTGGAACAGGGGTAGGTTGTGCCACTGCCTTTGCATATGTTTTCTTGTTGTTTGGTTGTATGGGTGCTGTTGTCCTTAGGAGTGGGGCTGTGGTTGCCCTTTTTGGACAGTCTTGTTGTATGTCAGTTCGGAATTTATGTCAGTTCGGAATGGACATATGTCAATTCTGAATAAACATATGTCCATTCTGAACTGACATATGTCAGAACAGAATTTATGTCCATTCCGAATTGACATATGTCCGTTCGGAATGGACATATGTCTGATCGGAATTTATGTCCATTCCGAACTGACATATGTCAGATCAGAATTTATGTCCATTCCGAACTGACATATGTCAGATCGGAATATATGGTATACTAAAGATAATCAGTGTCAATATTATAATCAATATTTATTTAAGTAATAAATATTAAAGCTATCTAATATGGTTACTATAATATTGGCATTAATGTTTTTGAATTTCGTATAATTAAATATGTAAAGCCCAAACATATTAATTAAAATTATCGCATTTTCCGTTACAAGGATGACAATTAAAACTACAACTAACCGAGGCTTTGTGACAAACACATCGATTGCTTGTGCATTTAGTTTTGCAGTTACATGTAATTTTTGTTAAATTTACTAAGCTTTGAGCTGAGGCAGCTTTATGCAATGTTACACTATTCTTAGGGATGTCATTTAGCTCTGGATAATGAATGCCTGGCTCGATTAATTCAAGATTATCAGTTGAATATTGGACATTGAGTATACCTGAAGAGCACCCTAACTGGCACAATCCATTTCCACGTACTTGAATAACTTTACAAGCCAGTTTAGTACGATCAAACTTATTTTTGTCAGCTTTTGGAATACGAAGATAGACTAAGTCACCTTTCTTAATATTTTTTGGATGCTTCTGTAACTTTTGCATGGTAGCTTTCATCTGCGCTGTGTAGGATGTCACGTGTGCTTGAGCAACAGTTCGCTGATCTTGATGAGCCGTTGGCAGCATTTTCGCACGGTTGTAAGTATTTTCATTAATGCAACTTACTATCTGTATTTCCTTTAATATGTTTAAACATTCATTACATGAGATATGTTGACATCAGGTGTTTGACATAAATAATGTTTTTTATTATTCTATACCTCTTCGTTTATGTTTGAGAGCTCAGAAAGCCAACGGTTAAATTTGGTTTCCCAGACATCTAAAAGTGCTTCTGGAATGCTCAGATTATTTCGAAGACCCTGCAATTCATCAAGGGCTTTGCTGAGTCTTGTATGAGCTTGTTCAGCAGGAATTTTCCCCGACATAGTTGCCTTTCGACCAAAAGAAGACTCCCACCGAGAATTTATTTCTTCCCAGTCATCAACAATTTGTCTGGTGGTGTTGCCGAATGTCTTTAATAAAAAAATTATATCAATAATTGATCATAAAAACTACAACACTAATAATAAAATTATACCTTTCCAGAGCGTAAAGATTTTACCGTCAGATTCTGGTAAATAATTAAATATTAATGAACAAATGTTGAAACGTATGTTATTTATCTAAAGTGTAGTAAAATATGTATAACTTACATGAACCTTAACCGCTTTTTGACTTCTTCTGCCATCAGCATGAATGACTGTCGCTTCTCGCTTCCGTTTCATATTCTGCTGGTTTGGTTTAATCACATTCTTTTTTTTTTTCTGTATGAGACTCTCAACAGCCTCTTCTTTCATTCTCTTTTCCTGCATAATAATTGGGTTATTAAATTTATACACATATTAAAGCGCCATAATAATACGTACATTTTGCCTGGCTTTTCATTGCGTGGCATCTTGTAACCAGTCATCAAATGTCGTCACCCACTTTGAGATAATATTTTGAGGAAATCGTTCATCGTTCTGAAATTTTCTGAGATCGTTTATTGAGCCTTTTATTGTTTTTATAACGTAGCTAACTGGAAGCGTATTAATATATTCCCGTTCTTGCAGTAATGCTGTCATCTGCTCTTCAAACTCTGGCCAAAGTTCAGCTTCCATACAGCCAGCTCGATCAAAGAAAGTATTGAGGTCTGACTTCCCCTTATTAACTCGCGGCTTAAATTGATTTCGAAGTCGTGTCTATAATAAAAATGGAAAAATGTTATGTATAATCAAAGGCATGATAATTGGTAGTTAAATTTCGAAATACCTTTTCTTCTCTTCTACTACGAAAATATTCTTCAGAAGATGTCTCTCCTGTAACAAGCTTATCTTCTTCAAAAGCTTCTTCCTCCTCTGCATCTACTTGACATGAAGAATTTGGCTATATAATTTACGTATGTAAATATTATATAAATATTATTATAATTAATTACGATATTATAAAGTTATATTTACCTCAATTTCGGTTATAGTGTTTTCATTTTCAACTTCTTCATTCTCCTCCATTTCTAAATAATAGTCGGTGGGATATATCGGCTCCTCAAACTCGAGGTTTAGATCACTTTCATCAACCACTGTATCGGTTGGTAAATCGCCGAGCAATCTCAAATTCGCTCTTGGTTTTTGCCCAAAGACCAACTCATATGGAGTAAATTTCGTCACACGACAATAGCTCGTATTCATGGCATGAATAACATGCTCTAAACCTTGTGACCATAAAGTAGAACGGTTTCTCTGCATCCATTTTGTTAATTTGCCTTTTAATACACTGTTTCCTTTTTCGATCAGTCCTTGTGACTGCGGATGCCTGGGACGTCCTCGAATTATTCTCGTTCCTGGCCAGTTGTTCATTAAATCACGAATTACTTGGCTAGTAAATTCAGTGCCATTGTCAGTATGTAATACAGCGGGTGGGCCAAAAAGTAAAAAAATACGTCGAAGTACTTGGGCAACTTCCTTGGCTTCTTTTGTTTTAAGCGGCGCTGCCCATGACCATTTAGTAAAATGATCGCGAGCATGACAAACATATCTGTAAACTTCCCCTTCGAGTATGCCCATATGTATGAGATCCGCTTCCACCCGAGTCATAAACTTAGTAGCAATAATCGGCTTGGCAGCTATTGTTTTTTTGCAGACTTTGTTTTCAACATTAATCTTACATTGTTTTATGAAACATTCTGTCAAATGCTGTGGTATCCAAGAATATTGGGAGGACAATTCGTTCCAAAACACTGTCATGCCTGGGTGTTCTGAGGCAGTATAGGTTTCAAACAGCACGTCATAGAGCTTTTCTTTTGTACAGACGGGTAAAGCCGTTGTTTTGTTTTTAGTCGGTTTCTTAAGCAGAACGTATTTGCCCTTGATACTAGTGTCTTCGCGGAGTTCAAAATGTTGATGAATCTATTAGAATTATTTGGAGTTAATACAACTTGTCTTGTAATATTGTAATATGTTTTCAAGTAATTGATTATGTACCCAATAACGATGTCTCGCTGTTGAAATAGTAGCGTCATTTTTAGGTTTTTTCAAAACCTCAATTGCTTCATCGTACATTGTCTGCGTAATAAGAATTTTTTCTCTTTTTTTCTCGCTATGACTTGATATGAATCGTTCAACAATAGCGTCGAAGGCAGCTTTTGAAATAATGTTTGAATCGTTCATTTTTGAAATATGTAGAATGAGTTGGTTGCAATGTTACAATAGATAAGTGTTATAATTCGATTAAATCGAACAGAGACAGCATTGAACGTAGGGTTTTTATAACTTTCGGTCTATCTTGAGGCTTAGAACAAATATCATAAAGATGCTAAACAAGTAGAGGTTTCGCGTATAAGTTGCCATAAATGTCGATCAAATAATTATTTAAAATCTAATCACAATTCTAGTTTGTTGTGGTGAAATACTTTTCGCCCTAATACTTAAATAGAAAACACGCTATCGCTGTACTATTCAAAACGTTTAGCAGATTTGTTATAGCATTGTCAATAGTTTGTCCATAGTCGAGATTCAAATTTTGAAAGTAAATAAAAGTAAATGAAGCAGAAGAATAACATATAAATAACCGTTTGATGATAAAACGTATTAATTTACAACATATCTATTATATTAACATAACAAACTTACTTACGAGTTCAGTAAATTATCACTGTGATGTGTAAATTATAGAATAACCAAACAAGTTAGTGATATTTCCTGGATAAAGAGTCTTCTCTTGTACAATCTGAATAAAATACCTTGAGTTGCTGAATAGGTTATCAATGGTTTCTAAAATGATTGGTGCGGAGATACAAACACAATTGTGAGCGAAAAACATCGCCTGACATATCATTGTGAAAGAATGCTTTGAGTTACCGAATACGTTAGCGATGTTCTGTTTGCACGGTACGAGAATGCAAGTAAACACTGATCGACATATCATTGTGAATATGCTTTAGTTACTAAAAACGTTAATGGTTTCTCTTTTGGTGAGAAAATTGAAAGATGAGAGTATTAAATGGTATTGTGAAAGAATGCTTTGAGCTACAGAAGACGTTAGCGATTATCTTTCTATTTGTAGGCAATACAATTGTGAGCAGACATATCATTGTGAAAGAATGCTTTGAGTTACCGAATACGTTAGCGAATAGTCATTCTATTGGTGCGGGATACAAATACAATAAGTAAACTTCGATTGACATGTCATTGTGAATATGCTTGAGTTACTAAAAACGTTAGTGATGGTAACACTTCTAGTGAAAAACGAGAGTATTCAAATGGCGTAATAAACGTGGCTCAGCATATCATTGTGAAAATATGATTTGACTTACAGAATACGTTAGCTATATTCCTTCGATTGGTGCAGGATGCAAATACAATAGTGAGTAAACACTGATC